CCCAGCTCAGTCTGGATGTGTCCACTCTGGACTCTCCCAGATGTCCCTGCCTCTGGCTATGCTCTCCCACATAGCTACAATAAACTTTCTCCTCCACTAAACCTAGGAGCACTCATGGCCTTCCCTTTCTTTTCTTCATTCAGTCCTTGTTGTTATCATTTGCTGTTGTTTATATATTGAGTAAGTTCTTGATATGCAATCTACATGATCTCAAACCTTGGGACATCCTCTGCCTCTTGAGTGTTGGAATTAAATGTGTGCACTACCACTATGCCTATTTTTTTTTTTAAATCAGGGAGGAAACCATTCCCCAGAAACCCCCAGCAGATCTCTTCTTAAGTCTCATAGGTCAGAACTAGGTCACATAACAATCCCAAAGGCCCAGGGATGGAATTAGGACCCGTTATGAAAAGCTTGAGGGGGACCTTTCGTGGATTCCATGACAGGCGAGGGTGACGGAGGCAGAGGGACTAACATGCCAGGCAGACAGAGCTTAAGTGAGAAGTTTTATTAGAAAGGGAAGGGGGGGAAGGAAAGAGAAAAGGGGTAAAGAGACACAGAGACAGAAGAGAAGAGGGAGACAGGAAAAGTCCTGTCTGCCCCAGGGGAACAGCAGTTAACAGAGGGAAAGAGAGTGGAAGAGAGAGCTGGAAAAGAAAGAGCCGGAAAAGAGAGCGTAAGCGGACAGGGGTCTTTCTTTTAAAGGGGTCCTTTCCACCTGCGTGTAGACTGTGCAACCATGGACCCCTGGGCTGACCAGGCTACTGCCTGAGTGCATCCTGCCAGTTAACAGGGGCAGGCCAGCATAATGCCTGAGTCCTTACAGGACCCCTTTAGCAAGGAGAAACAGAGAACGAGAGGTTGGTGGGCGCAGCCAAATGTCCAAATGTATCCACCCCATCCTCACAAAAGATAATGGAGGTGGCTGACACTTCAGTAACTCTGAATTCTGAGCAGTGTGGGAAAACACTATTCCTAGATGCCCAGGCGTTTGTTGTTGTTGTTGCAATCTCAACCTACAAAATACTTGAAAAAGTAACATTTGTTTTTTATCTTGACTACAAGACTTAATTTGACAGCAGCCGTTTGTTCTACCCACAGCTAGGTCTGGCCTGTTTACTGTTTAAGGTTCATCCTTCCTGCAGTTAACACAATAGTTCTTGGGATAGTTTCTGAACGTAGAGAGGTCTCAGAAATATGCTGTGTATACAGTATTCCCCCCTTTTTTTCTTGAGACGGGTCTCTTGTATCTCAGCTGGACTTGAACTTTCTGTGTAGTTAAGGGTGGCCTTAAACTCCTAATCCTCCTGCTTCCACCCCCTAAGAGTTGGGATCAGAGGTGTGTACAACCTGAAAACCTTATTTACATTTTCTCTCCCTGTCTGTGTCTTTGTCTCTCTATCTCTCTGTCTAGCTCTGTCTCTGTCCCCCTCTCTCCCTCTCCCTTCCCCCCTTCTCTCGTTTTTTTGAGACAGTCTCACTACATAGCCCAGGCTGTCCTAGAATCCACCATGTAAACCTTGAGGGCTGACCTTGAACTCACAGAGGTCCACCTGTCTCTGCCTCCTGGGCGCCAAGGCACGCATGGCCAGGCCTGTCTATTATAGTATTCTTTTTTGAGACAGATTCTGAATTTGTAACCCAGGCTAGCCTTAACCCACCATGTTTCCTGTCCTCCAGAACACTGGGTTTACAGGCAGATGCCACCACCCTAGGGGCTGAAGTCCAGGGCTTTCAAATAAGGAGTTGTGACTTTAAGTCATTACGTGCTCACCAAAATTCATCCCTGTTTTGCCAATGAGGCTCAGAGAGGATGTGTGACTTGCTGGGATCAAGCAGCGAGGGGGGCCTGGGACGGCTGGGTAAGCCCCGCATGGTCCCGGCGCTCTCCCCCTCAGCGGACCTGACAGACCTGTGCGGACAGACGTGGCAAGGGGACGCGCTACAGCTGCGCTCGCACTCGGCTTCGCGCAAGTTCTACTTCGTGACTCCAGACACTGACTGCATGCTGTGGCTGCGTGCCGCAGCCCCTGAAGACAGGATACGCTTCCAGTTCCGCTTCTTCCTGGTCTATAGCCTGTCCTCGGCCACCCGGACCACCGCAGCCACCCTGACCACGGCGGCCACCCTGAACCCCAATGCGTCTTCGCGCGACCAGTGCGCACCCGGCTCCTACCTGCAGTTCTACGACGGCCCGCAGGGGGCGCCCCGAGTTCTGGGACACCCGACCTGCGGCCTGACCATTCCTGCCCCTATCACGTCCTCTGGACCCTGGCTTGGCCTGCGCTTGGTCACCAGGGGCCGTCACCCCCGCGTGGACTTCTTGGGCGAGGTGACCTCTTTCCGCCTGGGTGGGTTGGGGCTGATGGCCAGGATGAGGTGAGGAGAGACAGAGCAGGAGAGGAGAGGCTCAGATGACAGGAAGGGAGGAATGGGGTCTCAGCTGGGAAAGATTGGGTGACATGGACAGGGTTGGGGAACCAGTTGGGGAAGAACCAACACGAGATCTATAAGTCCGGCTTCCTTTTAGCCTAGACACACACTCTCTAACCACTTCAGAGCACATTCACACAGGACGCCAGTTCACACCCATACCACACTCACAATTGAACCCATACTCACACATACACCTCACACACTCATTGTCCTGCCCCTACCTCACGCAGTTCTGTCATTGTGGGGACACATTATTATAGGAGCTGGTCTAGGATTCCTTTTTTGGGGTGGGGGTTTGAGACAGGGCTTCTCTGTGGCTTTGAAGGCCGTCCTGGAACTCACTTTGTGGTTAAAGGTGTGTGCCACTATCGCCCGGCTGGTCTAGGATTCTTTTTTTTTTTTTTAAATATTTATTTATTTATTTATTTATTTATTTATTTATTGTGTATACATCGTTCCTCCTGCATGTATCCCTATAGGCACAAGATCTCCTTATGGATGGTTGTGAGCCACCATATGGGTGCCGGGAATTGAACTCAGGACCCCTGGAAGAACAGCCAGTGCTCTTAACCTCTGAGCCATCTCTCCAGCCCCCTGGTCTAGGATTCTTACTCCCAGCTTTCCTTTTCCACCCCAGGGTCTTGTGGCACCTACTTCCGGTGTAGGAATAGCAGGTGTGTGCCCCAGAGCCTGCTGTGTGACGACTGGGACATGGACAACTGTGGTGATGGCAGTGACCAGGACTCCCAACCCCCGGCCAGCTGCAGAAGTCAGTGATGAGGGCTGCCTGGATCCACAATGAACAGCAAAGTGGAGAGGCTGATTGGCCCTAATACCCTTCTTCTGGGTGGCAGGGCCTGGGTTGGGAGGTGGCATGAAGCAGGAAGGAGTGTGGCCACGGTGGCAGTCAGTTTAGAGACCAAGGGTGTGAGGGCCAGTGCAACAGGGAAGGGTCCAGTCCAGCTTGTGGCCCGGGACCTTGGAAGAGAGGCTGTTCTTCACAGGACCTGAGGACCCGTCTTATTTATTTCAGTTAATTATTGCCAGTCATTACAATGACCTCTGGGTTATAGCAGATGCTTGAGAAACAATGGTTAACTGATTAGAACAGCAAACTTCCTGATACCTTGGTTTCCTTATCGGCAGGGGGTGGAGTCATCACACCTCACCTTGCAAACACCTCCAACCACAAGTGCTGTCAGTTGCACACAAAGCGTGACACTTGCTGTACAAAAGCTGCTCACCCAGGCTGGTCTGTCCCATGTCCTGAGAAGCAGCTCCACTTACAAGCCAGACCTCACTTCCAGCTGTGTGACCTTGGCCAGATGTGTTATCCACTCTTGGTTCCTCATTTCCCTTATTCTGGTAGTGGGGACCACAAAGAATTCTCATGAGGAGTAAGTGACACAGCAGTGCCCCATGAAGGGGAGTTCTCAGAGTGCTGTTACTTCTCACAGGTCCTTCTGTGGTACCCAAGCAGACCCCGAGAATGGAAGGTGACAGTTCCAGGCCTCTGACTCTCCTCTCGGCTCTCGGCTCTGCAGCGGAGAGGACCTCTCCAGCAAGTCTGGCACCCATCACACGAGAAGTGCTGGAAGGTAGATGGCACTTGGTGACAAACCTCTTACATTCTTCTACCAAAATCCCTCTTGGCTCAGTCAGGAAAACGCTTGCTGCGCAAGCATGAGAAGTTGAATTTGGATCTCACCATAGTATAAAGCCAGGCTCGGTGGGTGTACCTGCAACCCCAGCACTGGGTAAGCCAGTCTAGCCCAACAGGCAAGTCTTGAGTTCAGTGGGAGAGACCTTGTCTCAGATAATTAGGTGGCAAAGAGGGCGAGGCAAGGAAGCCTCCTGTGTTGAGAAATGGCTCAGAGGTTAAGAGTATACTACTTTTGCAGAGAACGTGAGTTTGGTTGCCAGCACACAGCTGGGCAGCTCACAGCTGCCTGTAACTCCAGCTTCAGGGGGGAACTGATGCCTCTGGCTTCCAAGGACACCTGAACTTACATGCAATTGCCCACACAATATACACAATTAAAAATAAATCTTAAAATAAAGAGGCTTGCTGGGCATTCGGGTGCTTGCCTTTAATCCCAGCACTTAGGAGGCATAAACAGAGATCTCTCTCTGTGAGTTCGAAGCCAGCCTGGTCTACAGAGAGAGTTCCAGGACAGCCAGAGCTACATAGTGAGAGCCTGTCTCGAAAAAATAAAAACAAACAAAAAAGAAACAAGAACAAAAACAATCAAACCAACTAGAGGCTTCCTAATATGTCAGCCATGAGCCTCCATATTCAACACACATGTACATCTCGACACATGAGAACATGTGTACACACATAAGCATATACCACAAGACACATGCCAAATAGCCAAAACAGCAAAAAATAAGATGGAGGGCTGACAAGAAGGCTTCGTGGTAAAGATGATGGCTGAGTAAACCTGTTAGGCTGAGTTCAATCTCCAGAAACTGTTTAAGGAAGGAGAGGACAGGGTCCATACAGGTGTCCTCAGACCTCCACACATTTGCTGTGGCACAATGCCCTCAGCCCACTATAATATCACCCAGTGGTAGCGCGCACACACACACACATACCCACACACATACTCTCTCTCTCTCACACTTGCACACACAGTCACTCTCTCTCATACACACTCTCTCTCACACACACTCTCTCTCACACACACACTCTCTCACACACATGCACATTCTCTAACACACACATACACTCTCTCTCTCTCTCTCTCTCTCTGTCTCTCACACACACACATTCTCTCTCTTTCTCACTTACACACAGTCACACACACACTCTCTCTTACACACACACTCTCTCTTACACACACTCTCTCACTTACACACACACTCTCTCTCTTACACACACACTCTCTCTCTCTCTTACACACACACACACTCTCTCTTACACACACACTCTCTCTCACTTACACACACACTCTCTATCACTTACACACACACACTCTATCACTTACACACATACACTCTCTCTCTCACACATACACACACACACACTCTCTCTCTCTCACACACACACACTCGTTCTCTCTTACACAGACACACACACACACACTCTATCACTTACACACACACACACACACACACACACACACACACACACACTCACACACTCATGTCCAGTCTAGGTGATGGAAGAACATCAGGCCCAGGGGGAAGCTGACTGGACTCTCATTCCTCCCACAGGTTCCTGGATCTGGTGGGGGGCTCTGGCCTCTTCAATACTATTGATCTCCACTGGCCTCCTCTGGTGGTGCTGCTGCTGCCCAGGCTGGCTGGTCTGGCACCCAGGTGCCCATAGGCTCTGCCTCAGATGCTGCACAGCCTCCAATACCTGCCACCTGTGTCCTGGCCGGGTGGCTCCTGGGGATCTGTGGCTGACCTGGCCAGCTTTCCAGAACCAGGGAGGCCATCCTTAAGGGGCTGTAATTATCAGCTGAGTAGGCTCTGGGGTCTGAAAGGCCTGAGTTTTAAGATTTGTTGGATGGCTGACATGGAACATGTCACTCAGTTCTTTGAGCCTTAGTCTGCTTCTCTGGGAAATGGGCCAAGTTCTGTTTCCCAAATGAGGTAAAAGCTGCAGAAAGCAGAATCACCAGGCATACTTTGCTTTGAGTTATTTCTTTCTTTTCCTCCTTCCTTCCTTCCTTCCTTCCTTTCTTTTTCCGAGACAAGGTTTTTCTGTATTGCTTTGGAGCCTATCCTGGAATTCACTCTGTAGACCAAGCTGGCCTCGAACTCACAGAGATCCACCTGCCTCTGCCTCCTGAGTGCTAGGATTAAAGGCATGCGCCGCCAATACCCAGTCTGAGTTATTTCTTATTGTCCCGCACAGTAGCTTCCGTGCTGGGCCTTGCTCTGAGCGAATCCATTCTAGAAAACAGCTGGCTGCACCTGAAGTGCAAACACTGAGCCACACTGACTCCAAACAGATGCTGCAGCATGGACAGACAGGCCCAGGCTGGGACTAAATATCACCACCTGTGGCAATGCCAGGTTAAATCAGAACACACTGACACAGGGGGGTCCATCCAGGTCTGGGAACGTAGCCCAGTAGAGTACTTGCCTTAGCAGTACAGAACCCTAGGTTCCATCCCCACCAACACCTCATAAAATTGAGTATGGCAGAATGCACCAGTCATCCCAGTAAGCAGCAGGTAGAGGAGCATTGGTGAAAATATCACTACAGTCATCCTTGGCTATAAGTACAAAGTCAGCATGGGCTACATGAGACTCTGGTTAACAACAAACGCCCAAAACAACCATACAAACAGAAAATAACAAAGATAAGTAAATAAATAAGGGCATTGGAGAGATGGTATCTCAGTGGTTAAGAATACTTGTTTTGCCAGGCGGGTATTGGTGGCACATGCCTTTAATCCCAGCACTCAGGAGGCAGAGGCAGGCGGATCTCTGTGAGTTTGAGGCCATCCGGGTCTCCAGAGCGAGTGCCAGGATAGACTCCAAAGCTACACAGAGAAACCCTGTCTCGAAAAAACAAAAAACAAAACAAACAAACAAAAAGAAACCCCCCCAAAAAAACCAACCCCCAAACTGTATCAGAAAAACCAAGTTAGCCAAGTTAGGTGTCAGTGAATCACACCTATAATCCAGCACTTGAGATGTTGAGATAAGAGGGTTACCCTGAGTTTACCAGCCTGGGCTACAGAGTAAGACCTTGTCTTAAAAAATACAAAAACTGGGGCTAGAGCCTGGCATGGTGACAGTCAGCACTCAGGAGGCAGAAGAAGGCAGATGTCTTTGAGTTTGAGGTCAGCTTGGATTATATATTGAGTTCCAGGACAGCCAGGGCTACACAAAGAAACCCTGTCTCAAAAACAAAAACAAAAACAAAAACAAACCAAGAGAGATGGCTCAGGGGTTAAGAACACTGGCTGCTCTTCCAGAAGACCCAGGTTTGATTCCCAGCACCCACATGGCTGTCCACAACTGTCTGTAACTCCAGTTCCAATTAGACACTCATGTGGTATACAGCAGACACATGCAAACAAAACTCCCATACACATAAAATAAATAAAATTTAAAAATACAAAACAGGAATAAAAACCAAACCTTTGAATATAGCATACCAATGAATGATGGAACCTCTTACCCTGGGTCATATACAAGGAAGGACACCTAATGTAGGGATACAGTGGCCACCAGCAGCTGGTGGTGTCCTAGATGGAAGGAAGGCTGAAGTACTTGGGACAGTGTCCTACCTAATACAGGAGCTTTGGTGCAGCATGGAGCAGGGTCCTCTGCTTGCCTTGTTTGAGCTGCTAACTGTTGGGACCCAGCTCCTAGGTAACTGGTAATGCTAACTGGGCTGTTAGACTCTAACTATAGCAGGGCCTGTCTGCATCTCTGCCATTGCCTCCCCTGGGGTCTCTTCAACCCTGTAGCTGTTCCGTAACACAACACACATGTATATACACATACACATGTGGAAAATCATAATCTGTCCATCTGTCTTTGAAGCAGAGTGCTCATGACAGAGGAATAGGTACTGGGTGTAGGGTGGGCACTGTGCTGAGAGGGTAAGGGTGCCAAGGGCAGGAACTGAGGCCTTCTCTGATCATGAAACTTGTTTGTCTTTGCTTCTCCTCCAGATCTCAGAAACCCTGTCCTGTACCCCCACCCCAGCAGTACTGAATGAACCCCTTGTCAAAGAACAAGAGACCAGCTGGGCAGTGGTGGCACACACCTTTAATCCCAACACTAGAGGCAGAGGCAGTTAGGCAGTTGTTGGATTTCTGTGAGTTTGAAGCCAGCCTGAATTACAGGCAAGTTCCAGGACAGCCAGAGCTGTTACACAGAGAAACCCTTTCTGGAAAACCAAACCAAACCAAAACAAAACTGAACAAAAACAAAAAAAACAAAATAAAACAAAAAAACAAAGGGTGGGTGGGGGAGAGAGACAGGAGAGACACAGGAAACCTCTTGGCGGGGATAGCACCATTTATTAAGAAAAAAATCAGATGAAGACCACAGGGTTCCCTCTAGGACCCGAGGCCAGGTATCCCAACAGCCTGCTTACCCCTCAGTTGGGCCCTCAGGCTTCCAGGTGGGCAGGGCATCACCCCTCTTCCCAATCTGAGAGGGGTGCCCCCACCAAGGCACTGGTCTTCCTGATTCCTGCTCCCCCACGCCCTGGGCCTTCACCTCCAGAAGGGTGGGGGGTGTGGCCTGGTGTGTTGGGACTTCATTGCTGGGCTCTGCCTAGCAGGTCAGGGGAAAAGTTGGTCTCCCTTGCAGCTCCTGAGGGCAGGGCCCTGAGCTGTGTGTGGTGGTGGTGGTGGTGGTGGTGGTGGGGAATGCAGAGGGACGTGGGCTGGGTGGGAGGGGATGCTGCCAGGGACATGGGGTTTCTGGGTAGGTGGGGGTGGAGGAAGCTGGGATGTGGCCAGTGGGAAATGAGCTGTCTTCTGCTCCCAGCACAGTAGCTCAGGCTATTGCAATACCATACCCTCATTCAGTTTGACAGTGAGGTACCAGGCGGTAAACTGAGGTTGGCACTCACAGCAATGAGGACTGTCCATGGACTGCTAAAACGAGCAGCCCGGCTTTACTTTGTAGTGGGGATGGAGTCAGAGCAGTTCTGAGCCCTACCAGTCACTGGGCCTGACTTTAAGTCCCAGTGGCCTTCTGAGGAAAACCTCTTCCAGTCCACCTGCCCCACCCACCAACCTTGGGGCTCTGCCCACACGTGTGTGGGAGCTGGCGCACCCACCCTCCAGTCCAGCCCAGGGTGGTAGCAGCAAGCGTGGCATTGCCTCCGTCTCTTACAAAAAAGTCATAATAATATTAATAATAATATACTCGACATTGTCAGGCTGGGTGCGGCCCAGGAGTCCGTGGGCGGCAGGAGGGTGCCTATGAGGGGCAGGGGCGTGTGTTGGCCCCTGCCTGGGCACGATGCTGCAGGTCCAGGGGTTGTGGGGGTGGGGCTCCAGGCCGGGCTGAGTGCAGCACCAGGTTCTTGATACAGCCTGTGATCCCAGAGGAGAACTTGCCCCTGGTCAGTGTGGCCACATCTGGGGCACCACCTGTGGAAGAGGAGTGTGACAGTGGGTCAGTGGTAGAACCAGAGAGGCGAGGAAGCCAGGCTCTCACACTGAAGGCTGCCACCCCCCCACCCCCGTCAC